CCCAGCCCTGGGCCCCCCGCCGCACCCTGGGCTTTGCCCTGTGCCTCTCAGCGGGGCACGGCTCGGGGCTCCGTCACATCCTCAGTTCCTGCCCTTTCAGGTGGTCGTTTGGCGTCCTGCTCTGGGAGATCGTCAGCTTGGGTAAGGCTCTTCTTTGTCCCCTGCCTCCACTTGGGTCCCTGCAGGACTGGTCTTCCTGCAGCTCCGGAGGGGACACCCAGGGACCGTCCCCACCGCAGCTAGCTGTGTGTCTCTGGCCGCAGGGGGGACACCATACTGCGGGATGACATGTGCTGAGCTCTACGAGAAGCTGCCCCAGGGCTACCGCATGGAGAAGCCACGCAACTGCGATGATGAGGTGTAAGTGGGCAGAGAGCCCCGGCTGATGGCGGCACTCACATCCCCCTGACCCCACTGCCCCACGGGGCTCCCACCAGCTTGTGGTAGCTCCTGCCTGGTTCCCCTCTGTGGCTGGGGGATGAGCTGGGGTCCCACACCCCAAACACCCTTCCTGGGCTTTAGTTTCCTGCTTGCTTCCCCCCATCTCCCACAAACAGCTTTTCTGCTGCCTCCCTGCTCTGTGCATGCTGAGCCACCGCTGGCTCTCTGCCCCCAGGTACGAGCTGATGAGGCAGTGCTGGCGTGACCGCCCCTATGAGCGCCCGCCCTTCGCCCAGATCTCCATGCAGCTCATCCGCATGCTGGAGGCCAGGAAGGTGAGTGGCGGCGGCGGCAGGGCTGGGTGCAGGGCACCTGCATCACCCTGGCTCAGCGGGAGGGATGCCCACCCTGCGCGGGGCTTGTCCGAATGCTGGAGCATCCCTTGGGCTCAGGGGGAGACATCCAGCAGCAGAACCTGTGTGACCCCACCACATGTGGGGATAACCCCAGCAGCACTTTTTGGTTGTGGGGAGCCCCATCACCTCCCCCCAGGGTGCAGCACTCGCGAGCATGCCAGCAGGGACAGGAGGTAGATGGGGACACTCTCACAACTGGATCCTGACCAAGGTTCCCCTGCAGGCCTACGTGAACATGGCTCTGTTTGAGAACTTCACCTACGCGGGGATCGATGCCACCGCTGAGGAGGCGTGAGGCTGCGCTGGCACCGCACAGAGGGGCAACACTGGCCCCAGCCTGCTGGGACAATGCTGTGGGGACAAGGGGCTGCCCGTCCCCACCCCGGGGCCAAGTGGCCAAACACCAGTGTCCCTTCCCAAGAGCACCTTCCCTGCAGCAGGACTGTGCTGTCCCCTCCCTGGCTACCCACCAGGTGTGTGCTGGCCACGCTGGCACACTGCCAGCCACCAACATGGCCCCACACTGCTGGGGGATGCGCTGGGATGGCCCCCAAGGACAAGTGCCAGCAGGGTGTTTGCAGGAGAGCGGCTCTCCCAGGAGCCAGGGTGCCACCACCTGTGGCCACGGACACAAAATGCCCAAGCTTTGGGGCGAGAGGGGAAGCAACGACCTGGCAGCTGCCTGCCCTTCAGCTCTCAGCGTGCTCTGGACCTGAAGTGGTGCCAGCGGGACTGCGAGCATCGCTGCCAGCATGGGACGGGGCCACCCAGGTGGGCGCAAAGGGACAAGGGACAGCGTTGGCTGTGCACAGCCTCCAGCTCTGCCGTAGCCCTTCAGAGGTGCCAGCTCTGCCTTATGGACAATAAACATAGTGCAACAGGCAGCCGGGTCCAGAGGAGGGGAGATGGGGTCCCAGCTCTGCCCCTCTGATGGCACTAGGGAACAGGATGTGGAGCCCTGATGGTCGGCTGCCGTGGTGGGCACTCCTCAGGATCCTGTCCCCACTGGGGTCCTCTGAAGATCCCCAGGGATGCCCAGCGCCCAGACAAGCCCCAGGTCTCATCATGCTGTGGGGATGGGTTTTCTTAGTACCCAACTGGGATCTCCCCCCCCCGCAATTTAAGACTTTGTCCTGTCCCCAAGGGATATGGAGAACAAACTATGTCCTTCCTCTGCGCAGCTGCCTCTTGCATGCTTGAAAACTGTTCCTGCAGCTTCCCCTCAGCTGGCTGCTCTTCACGGGGACAGCCCCGCTCCTCTGGCTTGTCCATGCAGGGCTGTGCAGCTCCACACCCTTCCCACCCCAGCCAGCGCCTGCCCGGCCGTGGGGTAACTTCCCACGTCTTGCAAAGGGACCATGGGGTTTGACCAGCCTGCTCGAACGCGTGCTGCTGGGGCGTCTCTCACGCGTGTCAGTCCCTCAAGGTTCACCTGGGCTCTGCACTGACCCTCCCGCGGGAGCTCCTGCCCCAGGCTGCAGTCCCTTGTCCTGCACTGCTGTGGTTTGTTGTATTGACAGCAGATGGACTTCATCTCTATCGGCTTCAGCTTGCTACGCCCTAGGCATGCCATCCAGCTGCCCTTCTAGTCGTTTTCTATGCCGTGGTCCATGGGAAGCAAGGGCTGCTCCTGTAGAGCCCATTATCCCACCACAAGGCAGATGTGTTTGGCATTTGCCCTTCTGGACAGGAGTCTTTTTTTTCCACGGAAGGTGTTTCAACCCTGTCAATACCATTTTGGTTTCCCATGCTGGCCTCCAGTGCTCTTTGGTGTCAACCGCAGCCAATATTAAGCAGCCTCTCTGCCCCATCACTGAGGTCCCCAGTGAAATGGGGATGGGGATGGGCCTTTGCAGGCAGCCTGCCATGTGCCACCTCCTCCGCTGCTGGCTGGGAACAGCATCTGAGGCAGCATCATCAGCCCTGCTCAAACCAAGGGCTTTCTGCTTTTTGCCTCCCTGACGGCAAAGCCCAGTAGCCAGACGGAGGAGGATATGGGACTCGTTTGACAAAATTTGACTGTGACAAATTGGTGCTGGCTGTTTCCATCTCCCCTCGGTGCCCCTGGTGCTGTCCCCGGCTCCTGCAGAGCAGGGAGATGCCAACCCGCCCTTGGCGTGGTGAGGATGCGTGTGCGAGCGGCTCCTCGCGCCCTGGCTGGTGCTCCCCGGGCTGTGCCATGGCGCTGTGCCCCGGCAGGGTGGGACACCCCTCTGGCCACCCACGCCAAGTGGCAGCGGTGGATTGGCACGAGGCTGAGCGTGCCTGCGGGACCCCACCATGGTGGCCCTGCTCCTGCACCGGCACCACTAGCATCTGGGCGGGCCCAGCCAATGCCCCCCATGGCTGCAGCCCTCCTGCCAGCACAGCCGCAGGGACGGTGCCACTGGGCCGTGCAGAGCAGACCCAACGCACGCCAGTGCCAGTGGCACAAGGCGGGATGTAGCCGGAGCAGCCGCCCCGTGCCCCATGCTCCCATGTGCCTGCAGTGTGGAACAGCCTGCCCTGCCCTGCCTGCCTTGCCCTGCTTGCCCCATGTGGGGGCCTCCCTGGTTTCTCAGGGGTTGTTTTTCTTCCTACTCCAGCCTCCCGGCGTGCCGGTAGCCACAAGAGCAGGACGTGCCGCCTATCTGATAGGAGCAGTCTCTCTTGGCACTGTGGCTGGCGGCGGAGGGGCCGCGGCACAGTGGTTTTGGGCACGGGGAAGTGCCGGTGATGGGGTGGGGGGAGCCTCCAGCCAGGCTTCCTGAGCTGCACAGCCACCACTTCCCAGATAAAGGTATCGCCCAGAGGAGCTGCAGCAGCTCCCGGGGCGCTGGGAAGGGCCGAGCACAGCACGCACGGCCCCGGCACACGGGGTGCAGGATGGCAGCCTGCCTGTGCCGGGGCTGCCTGCTCTCACTGCTCCCTGCCATCCTGCTCAGCCTCCGCAGCCCACCGCCGGCCCTCGAGCCAGTGACATCCCAAGGTAGGTCCTGGGGGCCATTTTCTCCCCCAAAGGATGGGCCAGAGAGGAGATGGCATGCTTGGTGCAGGCAGCGAGCACCCTATGGCAGCCAGAACCTGCAGGGTTGGGGAGGAGGCATCCCAGGAGGGTGTGCGGGGGGTGTTCAAGGTGGGCGATGGAGCCCCCTTCTCACCCGTGGGACACTCTGGGGCCTGGAGCAAAGGGACGTCCCTGTTCTCTGCGGGCTGGACCTGGCTGTCCCCGAGCACCCCTTTGGGATGGCAGTCTGTGGCTCCCAGCCCCGTGCAGGTGGCAGAGGAGCTCCCCACTCATCAAAAGCTTTCGGAGTGACGATGACGAGGGTTTGAGCAAAATTCAAGCTAATGTCTGACAAACAGCTCTGCACCGCGGGTAATGCTGTGGCACTGCCGGGCTAATCCCAATGCTCCCGCACCAGCCTTCCCATGATCTTAGTGCCCCACTGAGCATCCTTGGCTCAGCCGGTAGCTGGCCCCAGCCCGGCTCGCTGTGCCTGGCAGAGCCGCTTCCCAGCTTTCTCCCATTTCAGGCCTGTCCATGCTTTCTTTGAGCCCTCCTTAGCCCTTTTAACACTTTCTGTAATACCATAAAAAGCATTAACTGAATAAAATCCTGTTGATCTCCTGCTCATCCCTCCAGCCCCACCCCAGGTCTCTGGCCATGGCAGGCTCAGGAGCACATTTTGAGTCACCCCCATAGGGGCCGTGGGAGGAAGGACGAGGTTGGGCTCATCCTCTCTCTGCCCGCAGCCTCTGCAGCATCGTCCAAGAGTGGCTGGTGCAGGCTGCAGAGCTGTGCTTTTTTTTTTCCTAGGAAACGGCCTGCACCCAGCAGAGATGCTCTGGCAACCCACAGGACCAGCATGGCCTCCCACTGATGCCATGGGTCGCCATGCCACCGGGCTGCTGGCACCTGGCTACCCCATCCCCTGGTGCTGGGAGCTGGGGCAGACAGGGAGCCAGCACGAGGACTGGGGTGGGTGCAATGGGGTGCAAAAAGGGAAGAGCAGGTAGGGGGAAGGCTGTGGTCTGTGAGGAGGGGACGTGGGCTAGGGGAGGAAGGCAACGTAGGGCTGGGAAAGGAGGAACAGGGCTGGGGGTCAGGGCAAGGGAACGGACAGGGAGAGGAGGGGAATACCAGAGAGGGGCAAGGACATTTGGGGACTGTCCCTTATTCTTCACCTGGGGTGGGCTCAGCTGGCAGCACAGGGGGTGTGGAGCAGAGAACGGGTGTGCTCAGCACATGGAGCAGGGCTGGGTGCTGGCAGGGGGCTTGTTGTGGGGTCCTTCAGTGAGGGGCAGCCCTGGGGGAAGAGGGCACATCCCAGGAGGAGGAGGAGGGCTGCGGCAGGTCCTGGGGCAGAGGCAGTGGTGGAGAAGGGGGTGCTGGAGCAATGCTGGGGGCAGCGAGGCCACCCCCGTGCTTCACACATCTTGGGGCTGTCCCCTTTTCCCTGACAATGGGGACAGGCACCCATATGCCAGCAAAGCCACTGGTGCTTGGGATGGAGATCTGCAGGATCTCCTGCAGGGCTTGATGCTCCAATTCATCCCTGCAATGACATGGAGGGTGGCTTGCTGAGCGGGGCAGAGAAACTCACAGCTCCCCAGGCAGTCCCCAGGCCGGGGTTTGAGGATTCCCCCCTGCTCAGGGCTGTGCTCCCCCATGCCAGCCCCCAGGCCCTTTCCCTCTCCCCGGGACGCTGCTCCTCCTTATCTCACTTCCACGCGCCTTCCGGCGTGAGCAGGGCAGGGGTGCTTCCCCCCGATCGCCAAGCCCCGAGCCCCCCTCCAACCGCAGGGCTATTTCGGGATGTTTGTTTGTCCCAAAGGACCCCGTGTGCTGAGGAGGGGGGAGCGGTGGGGCCGGCTGGCGGGGAGCCCTGCCGCCTGGCAGGACCCCGGTGTGAGCCAGCAGCCAGCACGCGGGCCATGTCCCTCCCTGCCGTGCCAAGCTGGCGGAGGGCACCTTTGCCACAGCCGTGTCCACAGCCGTGCCCACACTGCCCCGTGTGCCTGCACGGCCTGGCCTCGGGGGCAAGCCGGCCAGCAGGCATGGGGCGGGGGGTGCAGGTGTGATGGGGACGGGTTTGTGCCCAGGGGCTCCTTCATGCCCATGCTCCTCCCAGATGCTGCGCTGCTGGCAGGGGTGCCCGAGGACATCCTCTGCTTCTCCCGCTCCTTCGAGGACCTCACCTGCTTCTGGGATGAGGAGGAGGAGGCGGCGGTGAGCAGGATGTGCCACTTCTACTACTGGTACAGCAGGTAGGAGGTGGTGGGGACACAGCCCAGCCTCCCCTTTGCCCGCACAGAGAGCAGCAGGGTCACGGTGCCGCAGCTCTCCGTGCCATCCTGGTGGCTCCCAGCTGCAAGGAAAGATGGTGGAGAGCCCACGGAAGCTACATAGCAGCCACCACACACCCTGCAGCAGGGCTGGGACCGTGGCTGTCCCTCAGTCCCATGGGGACAGTGCCCTGCAGTGGATGGGGGCACAGGGAAGGAGTTGGTGACACCGAGGTCTTGGTGCCATGCCCCAGGTCCCCTCTCCTCCAGCCTGGCCCCGGGCAGGAGGCATTGGGTGCTGCAGGACCCTGCTCTCCGTTCCTCAGGGACGTGCCCACAGCATGCGCGGTCTCCACATGGCACCACGGGGCCAGCAGGACGCGGCATGTCTGCGTTTTTCCCGGCCAGGACGTGCGGCTCTTCACCCAGCTCCACCTCCGCGTCCTGGACGCCACCACCAACCAGACCAAGTACTGGCGGGAGCTCAGCGTGGATGCGGTGGGTGAGTCCCTCCCACCAGGCAATACCTGTGTGACACCAGGACAGTCTCCAGACCTGGGTCCCCTGCCCTTCTGCCCGCCGTGGGGGCTGGCAGGACCCTGCACCCTAGGCACAGAGACAGCTCTGGGGGGACCGCTGGGTGTCCCCTGGCAGGACCAGGGGGTGCCTGGACCGGGGCTGCTGCAGGTGGTCAAATGCCCCGGCACGTTCCCCACAGGTCTCATCGCACCCCCGGCAAACATCACAGCCCGCTGGGCCGGGGCTGCAGGGCAGCTCTGCGTGTCGTGGCAGCCACCGCTCGCCGACTACCCGAACTTCTTCCTCTACGAGGTGCGGTGCTGCCCTGCCAGCTCCCCAGAGACGCCCTGCAGCCCTGCATCGCACCCCAGCAGGCAGCACCCTGGGGACCCCTCTATCCGGCTGGCCAGCAGCACCCACGCAGCCACAGCTGCGGCAGCCACAGCTTCCCCAGGAACAGAGCAAGTACATAGAGGGGCCAGGGCTGGGCAGGGGGATTTTGGGGCCGCAGCCTCTCCCCAGCCTGGCCCCTTCTCCTGCAGGGGCTGGTCCAGGCCAACACCTGGGTGGTCCTCCGGGACCTGCGGCCGGGGGTGAGGTACCACATCCAGGTGCGCAGCAAGCCCGATGGCACCTCCATGGACGGCGTCTGGGGGCCCTGGTCACAGGCAGTGGCTGCGGAGACACCCCGCTCCTCCGGTGAGCGGCCATCCCCACCGCCAGGGTGCTGGCTGGCAAGGCGGGGAGGCACCCATGCCTGGGGCTGCGAGGAGTGGGGGCCCTGGGGTAGGCGAGGGGCAGCACCCAGGTTTTGGGGGGCCGGGGGTAAGCAGGCCCCTCCCTGCCCTGGCTCTCGCCTGCCCAGGAGACATTGGGCTGTGCTGCAGCACCCCTGACCTGCAGCACGTGCGCTGCGAGTGGAGCTGGGACCCCGCAGAGCCCCACGGCTCCCACCAGCTCTTCTACCGGGCGCCTCCGAGCGGGGCCGGCACAAGGTAAGGTGTATGGCAGGGATGTGACACTCAGGCGGAGGGGTGGCACATCCCAGGGACCACCAGCCCTGCTCAGTGTCCCACATCCCACACTGTGCCACCTGGCTCCGTGCCTTGCCCTGCCCTACCACCATCAACCTCACACCTCCCCACCACCACTCCCAGCCACACAGCCCCTCTGACTACGGGCAGCGCTAGCTTTCCTGGGCAAGTGCAGGAGGAGCAAGGCAGCGCCGGCTGCAGAGACAGGGTGGCCCCAGAGCAGAGGTGACAGTGGGCAAGGGGAGTGGGGCTGCCACAGTAGGGCTGACTGGCTCCTCACTCCTCGCGCAGGGAAGACACGTGGCAGCGGTGCAAGGAGGCAAGCGTGGGGGTGCAGGGCACCCACGCCTGCACCTTCCAGCCCAGGGCTGACAGCGCCATCTCTGTCCTGGTGAATGTCACCTGGCCCCACACGCTGCCCACGCTCAGCTACTTCAAGGAGCCCTTCTGGCTGCACCAGGCTGGTGAGTCCCAGCACCACTGAGGCCCCTGCCCTTGCCCAGCTCGCAGGGGACACAGCGCCCCATGTCCCATTCCATAGCAGCGACACGTCCCCGTCCCCAACAGTGCTCACAGACGCCCCACAGCTCGTGCAGGTGATGGTGTCACAGGGCCAGCTGAGCCTCCAGTGGCTGCCACCCCTGGAAGCACTTGCAGAGCAGCTGGACTACCAGGTCCGCTATGCTGTGGAGAACAGCAATGACTGGAAGGTAAGGCATGGCCAGGGCTCCCCCGAGCAGCCTGGCCCACCTCTGCTGCCAGCACATGACCTGCGTGGGGTCAGGCAGGACGGACCCACACCCCAGCACTGCCCCTCGGCCGCCCCGCATCAGCTGTCATCTCCAGCGCAGCTCTGCCCTGCAGGTCCTGCAGGTCCCACGGGCAGCCAGGAAAGAAGTCCTGGACCTACGGCCAGGCGCCCGCTACCATGCCCAGGTGCGGGCCCAGCCCAGCGGGCCGTGGTACCAGGGCAGCTGGAGCGCCTGGTCCAAACCTGTCGTAGTGGACGCCATGGCCGATGCGGGTAAGGGACAGGGCAGGAGTGGAGGCTGAGGCCGAAGGAGCCACATGGCCAAGGGCAGGAGACGCAGAGTGCTGGAGATGGGATGGGGAGCACCGGGCAGAGGGTGGCAGGGCTGTGAAGGGCTCAGCAGTGGCGGGTCTGGGGAGGGCTGCAGTCCCAGCGCTCCTCCTGCCACGCAGGCTGGGTCATCCCGAGTGTTACGGTGGTGCCGCTGCTCTTCACGGGCGTGCTCCTGGGGCTGCGGTGCACCTTCCCCTCCCTCTGCAGGTAAGGGCTGTGCCTGGGGCAGGTGGGGGGGTCCAGCACCAGGCCTGGGCACCCCGCCCGGGGGCATCCGGGTGCCCCAGGAGCGGGGTTTGCTTTCAACACCCCCTTCCCTGCACCCAGCAACGTGAAGCAGAAGCTCTGGCCCCCCGTCCCCGACCTGCACCGCGCACTGGGCAGCTTCCTCCTCGAGAGCAGCAAGCAGGGCCAGGTGAGGGGGCCGGGGCAGAGCCCCCCGCGGCTCAGCCCCCACGGGGGCAGCTCCGAGGGCCGCCCCCACCGCGCTCCCTCTCTCTCCCCGCCAGGCCAACGCCTTCTACAAGCAGCCGCAG